TGGTTCATACTGGTTCATACTGTTTTTAATGGTTTTTTTACCATTTTTCTGGGTTTTTTTCTGTTTTTTTCTGGTCCATACTGGTTCATACTGGTTCATACTGGTTCATACTGGTTCATACTGTTTTTAATGGTTTTTTACCATTTTTTTCTGGTCTATACTGGTTCATACTGGTTCATACTGGTTCATACTGGTTTCTACTGGTTTCTACTGTTTTTTATGGTTTTTTTACCATTTTTCTGGTCTATACTGGTCCATACTGGTTCATACTGGTCTATACTGGTTCGTACTGGTTCATACTGGTCTATACTGGTCCATACTGGTCCATACTGGTTCATACTGTTTTTAATGTTTTTTTTACCATTTTTCTGGGTTTTTTTCTGTTTTTTTCTGGTCCATACTGGTCCATACTGGTTCATACTGGTCTATACTGGTCCATACTGGTTTTTACTGGTATTTTCCCCCCCCAGCGCTGTTCAACCTGATCCCGGTCGGGCTCCGCGTCGTCGCCCTGCAGGGCGCCCGGGCCGGGCGTTACGTGGCCATGAACGGCGCCGGCGTCGTCTACACCTCCGTGAGTGCCCCAAAATCCCCAAATCCGCCCCAAAAATCCCAAATTCCGCCCCGAAAGCCAAAAATCCGCCCCGAAATCCCAAAAATACCCAAAAAACACCAAAATTCCCCTAAAAAAACCTGAAAAAACCCAAAATCTGCCCCAAAATCCACCCCAAAAATCCCCCATATCCAACATCAAAAATCCCCCAAATCCGCCCCAAAAATCCCAAATTCTGCCCCGAAAGCTGAAAATCCTCCCCGAAATCCCAAAAATCCCAAAAAAACACCAAAATTCCCCTAAAAAAAACCTGAAAAAAAACCAAAATCTGCCCCAAAATCCACCCCAAAAATCCCCCAAATCCAACATCAAAAAATCCCCAAATCCGCCCCCAAAAACCCCAAATTCCACCCCAAAACCCATCCTGGGACCCCCCCCAAAATGCCCAGGTGTGCCCAGGTGTGCCCAGCTGTGCCCAGGTGTGCTCAGCTCACTCAGGTGTGCCCAGGTGTATCCAGGTGTATTCCAGGTGTGCCCAGGTGTGCCCAGGTGTATCCCAGGTGTGCCCAGGTGTGCCCAGGTGTGCACAGGTGTACCCAGGTGTAGCCCAGGTGTATCCCAGGTGTATCCCAGGTGTGTCCAGCTGTATCCCAGGTGTGCCCAGGTGTATCTCAGGTGTGCCCAGGTGTGCCCAGGTGTATCTCAGGAGTATCCCAGGTGTATCCCAGGTGTATCCCAGGTGTGCCCAGGTGTGCCCCAGGTGTGCCCAGGTGTGCCCAGGTGTGCCCAGGTGTGCCCAGGTGTATCCCAGGTCTATCCAGGTGTATCCCAGGTGTGCCCAGGTGTGCCCAGGTGTGCCCAGGTGTATCTCAGGAGTATCCCAGGTGTATCCCAGGTGTATCCCAGGTGTGCCCAGGTGTGCCCAGGTGTATCCAGGTGTATCCAGGTGTATCCCAGGTGTGCCCAGGTGTATCCCAGGTGTGCCCAGGTGTGCCCAGGTGCCCCCAGGTGTATCCCAGGTGTATCCCAGGTGTATCCCAGGTGTGCC